CATCAGAATCTGGTAATACGCCCACGTTTGTTGGGTCTTCAGTGTTTGGAGGACCATCATCTTGATCCATGCTCTCAGGGGATTTTCTTGATGGTGGATCCTGAAATTTTCACAATTAGATTTAGGAACAAGTATTGCAAAATATACTTGAATCATTATATAAGTAATCACTGTGATGACAGCTACAAACAAAATCAAGCAACAAGAAATATTGTAAATTTATATGTTTACAAGGAGTTTTCTTCATCTTTCAATGAAAAGCAATAATCTTTGCCTCCTTTTTTGTTAAAATTATAAGTTCGGTTGTACTATAGTTTCATTGACACAATCAAAGCTATTGAAACTTCTATATAATTAGAGAATTCAATCACTCTGTTACATGAAGTCCCAGATATGTAGAAAATTATTACCACAAAGACTATAAATTTAATGAAAATAACAGATTTAGAAAATCAACAGGAAACACCCTTTCATATTGAAAGAAAAATAAACGACACAGATGAAGACTATTGACTCTGAAGGATATCAAGCAGCATGAACAGTTTCACAGTTTTAATCTACACACAAACTTGTAAGAAAAAAAAAAGGACTGGCATATGTAAGTTGAATTTAAGTAACCAAAAAAGAAAAGTAACATAAGTGATCAAATTTTATACTTTCCATTGACTGACAATCGTTTCATTGTTAACAAAATTGAAGGAAACAAACCAAAGGCAAAAAAAATTAATTTTCCAATTCTCAAGTGACCAATAAAGGTTCAAAATTTCCACTTTCTTTTCCTGGTTAGTTTCATCTTCTAGACATAAAAGTTAATCATCCCCGTTTTAAATAGGATCAGAAAATCAAACAAAATAGAACTAAGAATCAAACAAACATCTCAAAACCCCAAATCAGACTCCCTCCAAATAAAAAAGGGGAAAAAACCAACAAGATTGTCATAGCTCATAACCACCAAATGTAAAGTGAAAAAAAAAAGAAAAAAAAGAAAAAAAAAGCTTGTCTCAGCATTTTAACAAAAGGGTCCAAATAAACAAGTTCCACAAGACCTTCTCTCTCAGTGTAAAAACTGTACCTGCTCTGTCTCTGCCTCTTCTTCTTCTTCATCTTCTTCGTCCTCTTCTTCTGATTCTACATCTACTTCTTTCTCTTCAGGCTGAGTGAAGCCCAGGTCCTCGATGTCGGCGGGCAGGGGAATCTTCTTCCCGAAGAGCTTGATCGCAGGGTCCTTAGTTTCCAGCATTTTCTCCGCAGCCAAACAGTGTTGAAAAAACGCGCGAGTATTTTTGTTGAGAGGTTTTCTGGGGTGTCTTGAGTGGTGGTGTCTCGGTTGGCATTGGGCGTAGTAAAACGTCGTCTACGATTTTAATCCGTTTAAACTAGAGGTGGGTGCCACGTCAGCACGTGGGTTTGATTCTCAGCCACAAGTTCTTGTGGCCTCCAGATTTCCCTTTGTCAAATTTCATCTGGATTCTCTCTTTCTGGTGCATGGAAATTCGGTGCTACCCAAACATATATATCTTCGATCTTTTTATTATTATAACTTGACTTCCATGGTAACCCAAAAATCGCTTGAATGATTTAAACGGATTAAAGCCAAATTAGTTAAGACGGGTGTATTCCCCACTTTGTATTCGAGTTCGAATTTCTTTCTTCGCGTTACTCTATTTATCATGCATCACTTGCTATATATTCTACTACAGTTATGTTCTCAATATAGTTTAATATATGTTCTTTTATACAAGCAATACTGAAGAAAAAGAAATTAAACCTAACATATCGAATGCATGCTATTAATCACTTGAGCTACAAATTCTTTACTATAATTCTATCTCTTTAATTTGCCGTGTATGAATACTCTAAACTAACTTAATTTGTTTTCTAATTGTGCCTATTTCGGATCGAGTCATAGAATACAATCTTAATTTCAGATTTCAGATTAGAAAAACACTTGTTGCCACATCAGCTGCAGACAGACACTTAGCAATAGGGTCCCACCCACAAAAGCTCAAAGTTTTTTCTTTTTATAGAAAAGAATAAAAGTTAAAAGCCTGCAAAGTTTGTACATAAGCTCCCGTAGATAAGGAACACGTGTTATAGTGGAGGACACGCGTAGAGCATCCACAATTTGTATACTTCACGCGTAGACCATACTAATACACGGTAGGGATAAAATAAAAAGTTTATGAGCATATCTTTTCCGTCTTTCGGTGTAATGGTCAAATGGTTTTGATTAGGTTAATCAAATACCTGAGATTTGGATTAAAATATTGATTAAACAAGTCTAATTTGGAAGTTAAAGTTGCTTTGTTAACTGTTGGGCAGCCCCGTGGACGGTTAAGGATTTTGCTAATTAACATGTTTTTCAATTAGGAGCTCATTCCACAAATTGATTTGGACAGGATTAATAAACAAAAATTAGATTAGGAAGAGATTAGGATGGAAATTTTAGAAGAAATTTCCTAATTATAATTAAAGTAAGCTTGCTTTGAAATAGGCTGCAACAAGTGCTTGTTAATCATCTTTAAAATTCATGGAGGCCCTTGTCAATGCCGTTGAAGTTTGAAAGTTGAAAGTTGAAGGTGATTGTAATATGGGCTTTGACCGAAGCGCAAGCAACACCAAGCCCTTTGAAAGCTTTGCCTTAGGGTTTCAAAAACCCAAGTTATAAAGCATGCCAAAGTTCCTGTGAGGCTGGCCCATTACTGCCCTAGTTTATGTGTTAACAGAATCTTGATTCAGACCCAACAGAGAAGAAAGGACTCCTGGCCCAAGAAACTCATTCGCCTAACACCGGATTTATGTAACCTTTCTCTTTATCTCTCTCATCACGTGAGTTTTTCTACACGATTGGTAGCCGAGAATTAAACAAGTGCATATAGACACATATATTATATATGTATCGTGGTCTCACATATGGAAAGATAGATGAGCAAGTTGCTCATATGCAATGAAAAGTTGGACTAAATTTGGTGCGTTCATACAATCAGAGCATGAATACACAGGATCCCATCTGAAAGGGTTGACTTAAAAAGTCATAATGCAGCATGCAAAGTTAGCAGAAAGTAAAGTATGGGCCTTGCCTTTCCTGCTTTATCTTTTTTACTTTCTCATCCCATTTCGGATATTTAGGCTTTTAGGGTTCACAATTAAAACCAGTTAATTAATTTAATCACCTTTTGGAATTGGCTGTTACATCAGCTACTTTGCTTCATTGTCAACACTCGGGTTTTACAGCCATATCACTCTGTTTGTCAGTAACCATATAAAGTGCAATGACACACCGAACAATGGAGGAGCAAATGAAACTTAATTGGTGATTTATAAAGTCAAAACAGTTAAACTAAAAGCACGACAGGTTGATACCAATATGTCTGCTGAAGTCAAACAAAGTTGAATGCTAAAACTGATTGTGTTACCAACCTTAATTATCATCATGTCTTCTTTCTGCTAATTAAAAAAAAAAAAAAACAGACACAAAATATGATTATAGGCCAGGATATTTATCCTCTACAAACTTTATTCAACCAAGTCATACTTGTCGTCCAGAAAACTGCTGCCACATTTGGTGGCTGCTGTTTGTTTTTGCAACTCACTAGTTGACATGCCACTCAAATTGAATCACAAAAAAAGAATGTTAGCGCAAGCAACACCAAGCCCTTTGAAAGCTTTGCCTTAGGGTTTCAAAAACCCAAGTTATAAAGCATGCCAAAGTTCCTGTGAGGCTGGCCCATTACTGCCCTAGTTTATGTGTTAACAGAATCTTGATTCAGACCCAACAGAGAAGAAAGGACTCCTGGCCCAAGAAACTCATTCGCCTAACACCGGATTTATGTAACCTTTCTCTTTATCTCTCTCATCACGTGAGTTTTTCTACACGATTGGTAGCCGAGAATTAAACAAGTGCATATAGACACATATATTATATATGTATCGTGGTCTCACATATGGAAAGATAGATGAGCAAGTTGCTCATATGCAATGAAAAGTTGGACTAAATTTGGTGCGTTCATACAATCAGAGCATGAATACACAGGATCCCATCTGAAAGGGTTGACTTAAAAAGTCATAATGCAGCATGCAAAGTTAGCAGAAAGTAAAGTATGGGCCTTGCCTTTCCTGCTTTATCTTTTTTACTTTCTCATCCCATTTCGGATATTTAGGCTTTTAGGGTTCACAATTAAAACCAGTTAATTAATTTAATCACCTTTTGGAATTGGCTGTTACATCAGCTACTTTGCTTCATTGTCAACACTCGGGTTTTACAGCCATATCACTCTGTTTGTCAGTAACCATATAAAGTGCAATGACACACCGAACAATGGAGGAGCAAATGAAACTTAATTGGTGATTTATAAAGTCAAAACAGTTAAACTAAAAGCACGACAGGTTGATACCAATATGTCTGCTGAAGTCAAACAAAGTTGAATGCTAAAACTGATTGTGTTACCAACCTTAATTATCATCATGTCTTCTTTCTGCTAATTAAAAAAAAAAAAAAACAGACACAAAATATGATTATAGGCCAGGATATTTATCCTCTACAAACTTTATTCAACCAAGTCATACTTGTCGTCCAGAAAACTGCTGCCACATTTGGTGGCTGCTGTTTGTTTTTGCAACTCACTAGTTGACATGCCACTCAAATTGAATCACAAAAAAAGAATGTTAAGTGCCTAGTTGCTTTTTCAGTGAGTTTCTTCTCGGAAATTCATTGAATATGTCCTTGAGCTCCAATGATGATGATTTCCACTGACCCTTTTAACCTACAAGTTAGTGCATGAGCTAAGGTTTTGCAAAAACATCATTCTTGTGTCACCCTCCACTTGCATTATAGTGTGTCCCCTTCTTTTCTCTCACCACCATTTTCACTTAAAATATCATTTTCATTACATCCCCACCTCAACCTCACTGCATTGGGGCTAATTTCCACTTCCACTTCCACATTTATGGTTCACACTTTGTCTTGCAAAACGCTTCTGTTGTTTCACCTTTTTGACTTTAACCACTATCATATCATATCATATCATTGCTTTTTCCCAAAACCCAACAAACACAAACAAGGTCTGAACAGCTTTGTTGGTGAATTGTATAAATTGGGAGGTGCTGGCTTTATCAGAATTAACATTCAGTTTTGCATATAGAACTTGCCCTTTTGAAGACTGCTACAGAAGATGGCATTGGCAGGCACTCTCCTTCATCTGCTTGTGATCTTCTTGGGGTTTTCCCAACTTATTATCTGCTTGAATGCCGTCCCAGTTACAAGTAAGATTTTAACGACTTTCTACTTCTTAATCCTTCTTCTTCTTCTTATTATTATCCTTATTCTGATTTTCTTTTTGTACCAAATATGCAGGAATTGGAAGCCTTCAGGTTCATCAAATTGCAGGAAATAACAAACTGGTATGACCTACCATAAAGCTGATTGCCAGAATTTATATGCTCTCTATATTTTAATGAAACTTTGCATGAGACTTACTTTGATGGGACTTAGAACAGGTAACCACAGAGAATAATTTTTATGAGCAAACTATTACTGAAAGAATGGATGTGGAGCTTCATGACTACCCGGGATCTGGAGCCAACAACCGCCACACTCCAAAGCCGCAATTTGGAAGATGTGTGGATTGCTAGTTTTCTCCTGCTACTATTGGTTTTGGCATTTACAATGTAATGTTATATATGGACTATTGTAAACAAGAATTTTGTTCTTAGATCATTCATCATTTGAGTTTATTATTAGGGCTAAAAGAAGTAGGACTCAAGGAGTAGATGCTTGAAATATTATATAATATATATATGTAATATATGTGTATTGGCCACAATATGCAGCTTATTAACTTGGAGATATCAATTTGGAGACCTCTTGTTTATTTGAGAGAGACATAAAGAGTTATATTATCATCATTATGGGTGACAATTATGTGTGAGTTGAAAACTTCATGGCCATTGATGCTAAATATGTATAATAGAGACAGCGTAAAAACTTCTATGGGCAAAATCTCCAACAATCAGAAACACAAATATTTGAGTTCACAAACCATAATCCTAGTGGTATATGAAAATTCTATTTAATGATCACTGAGAAGTTGCTTTAGGAAGCAATTGTAAGTAGCAGACCCTGCTGGTTTCAGTGCACAATTTATTCCTCTGGTGATGGAGCAATGGCGGGTGCAGGGGAAGGACCGTTTTCATCAACACGCAAAAAACCGAATTTCTTGATGAGCTCACGAGCAATTAGCTCATTTGCACTATCTGACGGATGGTACTCATCCCAAAACACATATTTGCTTCTGTCTTTGCACAATACTGATGCAGGGATACATGTCAGAGCCGGTCGGATTCTTCCAAATGAGCAGCATGGTGTGTCCGCGTTACTGAAGCCTACCATGGTTGGTTGAATTTGGATGAAATCATCATCAAGATGCAGAAAGAAAAAATGAGAAACACGAAAAGGTCAATAGAGAAAGATACAAGTAGATCTGAACATGTTCTGTCTTAATTTCTATGACCTGCTAATTTAAAAATTGATACTGAAGAGCACATTAACATACCATATTGGTCTGGATTGCTGATCACATTGTTGACGACATCATACGCATCGCCGAATCTGTAGCTTGCGTTAGGAAGCTTGCTGGACAAGTCTTCCATTAGCTTGCTTCCAGCTTTGTTGAAGCTGAGAGCTAGTTTGTTTGTTCTATCTTGGCAATTTCCAGATGTACTCAAAACCCTTTGGAGTGGGATACAGCCCATTGGTCCTAGCCCAAACACCATCAGCTGCCTTGCCCCTAAGCTGTGCAAAAGCTACTCAAAAACATGATCACAATTAGTACAAATTAAGAAACTTTGATAATTATAACCTTATCAATAATCAATGGTTAATTAAAGATCACAACCTGGAGTTGTCTTTGTAGGGTTTCCATTAGGTAGTCGATGAAAGTTTGATCGTTGTAAGTCCACGAATCGCTATAAACTGGCATCAAGTAATTGTTGATGAAGTCGTTGCTGCCTAAAGCGACCACATAACGAGCTTCTTGGAAGAACTTCTGTGCTGCTTGTGCTCCAATTTTGCTTTTTATCAGTGTTTGTGTGCCTTCAAACAGCTCAATTTGCTTGTAGAGTGAGAACCTCTGAATCTGCAATTGACATTTTGATGATCATATTACATGCAATGAATCTTAAAGCTAGTCTTTTAATATTAAGGTTGCTGCAACTTACAAAGAGGCCACCAGTTTCATTCAAGATTCCACCACCTCCGGAGGCATAGTTTACTCCATTTTCTAGAATTATATCCTCAGTTAAAGACGGATCCAGAAAGGCAGGTGGCCTTGAGAGGCCCATGTTATCACCTAAATAAACAAACATGTTCAGCAGACAACAAAACAAAAAAAAGGCAACAAATTAAGCATATACATTAAAGAAAATTGGATTGCAAAAGAAACTCATGCAGAACAAACTATATGCTTTTTTGCGTTTTTACATATATATGTTACCTATTATATCAGCAACTGTGCGGCCATTAGAGAACCTCCCATTAGGCAGTCCATTGCCAAAATCAATCCCATACCATGGCAGGCTTGCTTGGGCAAGGCTCTTGCTTAGGTACTTGTTGTTTCCAACGTCGGAGAGGGAGTCGCCGAATATAAACTGCACAATTTTGCAGTTGTGACCATCAATGAGGAGGCCAAAGATGGTCATAGCCATCATGGTTAACGCCACCATGAACTTCATGGTTGCTTGGTACTTGGTTAGATGAAAATGTGCTTCTTTAGGCCTTCCAAAATAGAATGGAAGATTGGGGTTTGGATTTAAACACAATGTACAAGGACTTATAAGTAGTAGAATTAAGATTTCGTGCACAAAGACTAGAATGTGTTTGGATTTGGGAAGAGAAAAACAGAGTGGGTAGCTTAGCTAGCTTGTTTGATAAACCAACCGTTGCTCATTCTCACCTAATGCAACTACCATGAGTATGTCTTTGTTTTACAAGTTATACAAATATACAAATTTGCAACGGTATGAGTCTAAAAAAAAGTCCCATAATTTTTAAATATTTTAGAATGTGCTTGGGATATGAAAATTCTCTCATGATTTTACAAGGCATCAAGGTGGGTGGTGAAAGCCAAACAGTGACGTGCACTTGCAAGGGGAAAAGTGGAACCCTTGGAAGGAGGCTTGGGCTATGATTTTGCTGGTGTGAAAAATGTTAAAAGGAAATTATATTGGGGGGTTCACCTACCCATCTAAGTTACTTCACCTCAATTTATCAAGATACAAAATTGGCCTTTTATTTCAACATGTTGGGCAAACCATATAGGTGCATCTGCAATCTCTGAAGTAAGCTAGCCAAGTAATATACTTTTCCAAATATTTTCCCTAAATTTGTCTTGGACTTAAGACGAAGAGTACTCACAAGCTTAACCAAATTGATCAAAATTTGTTCCCTACATACTATGACGGATGTAAATTTGGCCTGAAACCATACAATGATGTTTGATTTATTCAAATTTGAACTCGTATGGATCGTGTTTTTTTCTTAACAAATAAAAAACAAACATGCTTAATTACAACTCATTCATTTTCGAACCAACATTATGTCCATATCCCAAAATTAACAAATTAATCAGTACATTTGCTTCTACTTCTTGATTAACATATTCAATTAAAAGTTCAATTCACAAGTTTTGTGAGCCCAGGAAACTTTTTTTTTTTGTTGGGAGTGTAACATTATTACGACAAATCAGTGCCGTAGAAAAGAGGTTTAAAAGTACTGATGTGGCAAAGCATCATTGGTTGCATGTAAAGATATCTGACTTGTATCCTAGAACGTCCACAACCAAACAAACTCATTACAAAAGTACACAACGTGGCGTAACATCAGCCTCTCCGAATTCTAAAGACAAATAAAACAGCCAGAACAGTACACGACCCCTCCTAAAAATCGTTAAAATCCAAAAAATCCAACTCATTATCCACAAAAAATCCTGGCCCTTCATTCTCTTGATCCAACGGCCACTTTCCCCACTCATATCCCAAACCATATCCACCAAAAACATAAAAATTCACTCTCTGCCACGATCACACTCTGCCCCTCCTCCGCTTCAGCTCCAACCCCAAAAAAATGGCCTCCATTGCTCTCAAGTCCTTCATCGGACTCCGCCAAGCCTCCGCAGAAAAGCCCCATTTCACAATCCAAGCAAAACCCATTTCTCTAAACCCTTCAAACCACCGGAGGTTCCAGGTCAATGCCGCCAAAACCAGTCCAAAAGTCACGGGTCGAAACCTCCGGGTCGCCGTCGTCGGAGGCGGCCCTGCAGGCGGCGCTGCCGCTGAGACCCTCGCCAAAGGCGGCATTGAGACGTTCCTAATTGAGCGAAAAATGGACAACTGTAAGCCCTGCGGCGGCGCAATCCCGCTCTGCATGGTGGGTGAATTTGACCTCCCATTGGACATCATCGACCGCCGGGTCACCAAGATGAAGATGATTTCGCCGTCCAATGTGGCCGTTGACATTGGTCAAACTCTGAAGCCGCACGAGTACATTGGGATGGTGAGGCGTGAGGTGCTGGACCAGTACTTGAGGAACAGGGCGAGTGAGAATGGGGCGACTGTGATAAATGGGTTGTTTCTGAAGATGGAGAAACCGGGAGATGGGGAGGCGCCGTACGTTCTGCATTACACAGAGTATGATGGCAAGGTCGGTGGGGCTGGTGTGAAGAAGAGTTTGGAGGTTGATGCTGTGATTGGAGCTGATGGGGCTAATTCTAGAGTGGCTAAGAGTATTGATGCTGGTGATTATGAGTATGCCATTGCCTTTCAGGTAAATTATGAACTTGCTTTGTTTTAAATTCAGTTAATGCTTGCTCTGTCAGCTTTGCATGTGGGAGTTGTTTGCAGGAAATTGCAATTTGATTATAAAACTTGGTGGAAGAAAGCAACTTCTAATTCAATTTGAACTCAATTGTTGTGCTTTGTGTTAATGAACTAGGCACATTCTTTGATTTGAAGTTGTTAATTAACATTCTGGTTGCTTGCATAAAAGTCTTTTCTTTTCTTGGTATTTATTTGGCTGAAATGACTGTATCTATATGAGTAACTCGAAATTGAGACATGGTTTTTGGTATGCATTTCTAATTTTTCCTGAAAAACGTAGTTAGCTTAGCATACAGAACAAGAAAAACCCTTATGTTACTGAATGATTTACCTGGTTTAGAGTTTTAGTTGTATCTTCTATATTTGGTCAAAATTTTGGTAAAAGGCTAAACCCCAGGTGCATTGCTGAAATATGATTAGTTGTTTACACTTAGTTCAGTGTTGATCCATTCGAATTAAATTCTTGGTTTCTGCCTTTTGTAGGAGAGAATCAAAATCCCTGATGATAAAATGGTGTACTATGAGAATCTTGCTGAGATGTATGTTGGTGATGATGTCTCACCGGACTTTTACGGGTGGGTGTTCCCTAAATGTGACCATGTAGCAGTTGGTACCGGCACTGTGACTCACAAAGGAGACATCAAGAAATTCCAACTTGCAACAAGAAACAGAGCCAAGGACAAGATCCTAGGCGGCAAAATCCTGCGAGTGGAGGCACATCCAATTCCCGAACACCCCCGCCCCCGAAGGTTAGCAGGCAGAGTAGCACTCGTTGGTGATGCAGCGGGGTATGTGACAAAATGTTCGGGTGAAGGCATCTACTTTGCAGCAAAGAGTGGTAGGATGTGTGCAGAGGCAATAGTTGAGGGGTCGGAGAATGGAAAGAGGATGGTAAATGAGGCGGATTTAAGGAAGTACCTGGAGAAGTGGGACAAGACTTACTGGCCTACTTATAAGGTGTTGGATGTGTTGCAGAAGGTGTTTTATAGGTCGAACCCGGCGAGGGAGGCTTTTGTGGAGATGTGTGCAGATGAGTATGTGCAGAAGATGACCTTTGACAGCTATTTGTATAAGAGGGTGGTGCCTGGGAATCCTTGGGAGGATTTGAAGTTGGCTGTGAATACCATTGGGAGCTTGGTAAGGGCTAATGCACTTAGGAGGGAGATGGAAAAACTTAATGTATGAAAGGAGGAAGCCTTCTCAACTGTGTAATTTTCTTTTGTTTTTTGTTTTTGTTTTTCCTACTTCTGTAATGAGGTAACAGTTTCCTTGGAACCAACAGACTGAGTGGGAATTCCCCATTGGATTACCAAGAGAGTTTGTAGTTATGATATAATATAGTGTTAATGGTTTTATGGTATGTGAAATTGTGAATAAAGAAAATGGTTGAGTTGGATTGAATTGGGGGATAAAGAAAAAATCAAAATGCTTGTAGAATAATAAAGAAACATTCTCAGATGATAAAGAAACTTACCTCATATTATGTCATACCATGATATATGTTTGTTGCCTTATTTGGATGGAAGGATTCAAATTCTATGAATTTAGATGATACAAATTCTATGTCCGTTTCAATGATTCATTGCACACGAGTCATTTCAAATGCAATATATATCTAGTTATTTCAAATACATTCAATTTAGCGTGGCTCTTTCTTGTATTTGTAGCAGTCTAATTATCCAATCCAAATTATTTTTTTTTATCCTAATGGAGGCAAATTTCACTTAAATTGGAATGCTTGGTAAACTATAGGGACTATAATCACGACCATTAAAAATATGAGGGTGAAAGTGGAATTTAATGATGAATTAGAAGGAATAAAATCATTAGTTTAGTTTAGACTAAAACAATGTCACAGCTTTTTTATTATTTTGGATTAATCGCGGCCGTTGAAAATAATTAGAGATTAGCGGCAGGAGGAAGCAAACAAAAATGGGAGATTCGGTGATATTTGGGTCCACTCAGCACGCATCGATTGATATAAGAAAGAGGTAGCTGTTTTAAAAAAAGTGTAGATTCGTCTGAGGCCCATTGGCGGAGTTTTTAACGAACTTCACAAGCAAAACCCAAGACGGGCCAAAACCCCATTCTCTCTCTCACTCCTTTATATTCTCTCTTCTCAATACTTTGCCTCTCCAAAGTCGCGTCTCAGAGAGCTCTGTAGTAGGTGGCCTTCAGCATCTTCAAGGTTAGTCTTCTCACGCTCTCTCTCTCTCATTATCTTTGATTTCCAATTGCTTTTTATTTCAATTCAAGCATTCATGGATCTTTTAGTTGTGTTTTCAGATCTGGTTGCTTCTTCAGAATTTTCAATTCCCAGCTGTGTATTCATTTATTGTTTCTGAAAGTTCAATTTTCATTGGAATCTTGTACATAAAATTTCATGTTATTTGATTTTCTGGACTTTATTTTAATGTAAATAACCAATTATTGAGATTTTTTGATTTGGTGAATTGGGTTGGAACTTGTATGTTGATTAAGATGTAAAAATCTTTGCTTTGTTTGTGTTTTTGAATGCAATTTTAAATTTTTGTGGCGCAGAGTTTGTGAGATGGCGGCAACATCAGCAGCGGCTACCTTTTCCATCGGAACCACCTGTTCCCTTGGCCACAAAGCAGTCTCATTTCCACAGTCAAAGCCTTGTGCTTTGAGGTTCAACTCCCAAAACCCTCTTAAGAGTTCTTTCAATGGCCTCAAGGCAACTACATCTCTCGCTTGTGAATCTGAGACCTCTTTCTTGGGCAAAGAAACCACCGCAGCTCTTCGAGCTTCTTTTGCTCTAAAAGCCCACAAGGGAGCCCAGGTGGTTCAAACTCCGTTTCAACCCCAGGCCTCTTATAAAGTAGCTGTTCTTGGAGCTGCTGGAGGGATAGGTCAGCCCCTGGCTCTTTTGATCAAGATGTCCCCTTTGGTCTCTGACCTGCATTTATATGATATAGCAAATGTCAAGGGTGTTGCTGCTGACCTCAGTCACTGCAACACTCCCTCCCAGGTTCTTGATTTCACCGGAGCTGCTGAGTTAGCCAATTCATTGAAAGGTGTGGATGTGGTGGTCATACCTGCTGGTGTTCCAAGAAAGCCCGGTATGACCCGTGATGACCTCTTCAATATCAATGCCGGCATTGTGAAGAACTTAGTTGAGGCTGTGGCTGATAACTGTCCCGAGGCCTTCATCCACATTATTAGTAATCCGGTGAACTCCACGGTGCCAATTGCTGCAGAAGTGCTGAAAAAGAAGGGTGTTTATAACCCAAAGAAGCTCTTTGGTGTTACTACCTTGGATGTTGTGAGGGCAAACACATTTGTTGCTCAGAAGAAGAATCTAAAACTGATTGATGTTGATGTCCCAGTTGTTGGTGGACATGCTGGGATAACCATTCTACCCCTTCTATCAAAGACAAAACCCTCAGTCAGCCTCACTGATGAAGAAGTTGAAAAGCTAACCGTAAGGATTCAAAATGCTGGAACCGAGGTTGTAGAGGCAAAGGCTGGTGCTGGATCTGCTACATTGTCAATGGCATATGCAGCAGCTAGATTCGTCGAGTCATCTCTGCGTGCACTGGATGGAGATGGGGATGTCTATGAGTGCTCTTATGTAGAGTCTGATCTGACAGAGCTTCCTTTCTTTGCATCAAGGGTTAAGCTTGGAAGGAAAGGGGTTGAAGCTTTGATACCATCTGACCTCCAAGGTTTGACAGAGTATGAGCAGAAGGCTTTGGAAGCACTTAAGCCGGAACTGAAAGCCAGCATTGAAAAGGGTATTGCATTTGCCAACAAGCAAGCAGTGACTGCTTAGATCGCTAGCATCTGAAGCTCCTAAAACCTCATTCTAATGAATGCCTTATAGAGGGTTATAAAGAAACCTGGTTATTTTTTTTGCATCGGTACTTTTAAGTTTTGTAGAATGAATTTGATATCCTCTCATTTTTCCATGTTGAAGCATTGTTGGGAAGAAATATAGAGTTGCCTCTGTTGTTGTAGATTGAAGAATGTAGCCTTGCCTTTCTCTTGGGGAATATGTAGTGACAGTTTTGAAATAACTTGGCTGGTCGATTGTTAGTTCTTAGGAATATCATGTATTTCTCTCCTCTGGCGTGTATGCTAGACTTGAGCTAGTCACTGTCAAATAATTCTAAGAATGTTTTTTTTAATTTCAGCCTCTTTATGTTGGTGTTTTCACATGCTTTCTTAGTGTTTATTACTTGATCTTTGGAATTAAAAAGAATCACAAATCATAGAAAAGTGATGTGAGCTAGATGAACAAAAGATGGAATTTTAAAAAAAAAGCTCATTCACCAAATTTGATCAAATTTGCTACTTATTAAACCGGCCTGCCGCTTATCTGCAAGTTTTTGATCTTCACTAAACTGCAGAAGTTCAGTCAACCACAGAGAAAGTTTGATACTCTTTGTCGGCAATGGCTGCTTCCATGAGAGCGTGCGGGCCAATTTCCCCACCATTGTCCAAGGACTTAATCAAATTGTCGGAGAAGCCACTCACCATCGTCACCCCTGGATGATGTTCTTCGGAATGAGGAAACTTCCAGTCACAAATATTCCAAAGCAAAATGTGTGGCATTGCATCATTCCTGTAGCCTTGCGCCTCATACTTGCTCTGTTTTGCCTCATACAGAGTCGTCGAGATGCAGCTAAAAAATCCCCTGAAGTCGGTGAACACAAACACTTTCTTGATAATCTGCTCTGCCATCAAGTTCTCATTCACAACCACTTCCAGAATCAAATCAAACACCTTCCGAAAATCAACACCCTCGTTGGACTCCCTGAAGCATGTCCTCATCATAAACTCGCGCATGGACTTGAGATCATCGCCTTGTATTAAATGCAGCAGCGGCTGATCAGGCAAATGACCGAAACTGATCACCTTTCCTTTCCATGCCGGATCTTCAATCAGTTCAGACAGCACAAGTCCGAAACTCACTGCCAATTCTATGACTGGTAACACTGCCAAGCAGTTTTTAAATTTGCCCAACTCTCTTCCCCTTGCTTTTGCTTTAGGTACATGTCCTCCACCATTGCCTTCCACTGAAGCTCAGCCGCTTCCCCAAAACCCTCATCTTCTACATATTTTATGATCTCATTTGGAAGCAGAGCAACCGGCTTTATTATGACATTGCCGCCTCTTAAATTGCTTCCTCCTTCTGCTGCTGCTTTCACCTCCTCCAAACACTTTTTAACCACAGAGACCTCTTGTGTGGAATTCCCGTACATGATTCGATGATTGTAGTTATTGGTCAAGGGAACCAAAGCCTTCCTTAGCCGTTCCCACTTTTCTGATTGATCTGATTCTGGTGGGAAAAGCCTCCTTGCAATCCTTTCACGCAGCAAAATGGCCCCGGCGAGGTGGCGGTCGGAGATTTCGTTGATGACAAACGCTGCAGCCCCAGGTACCAAAAGATCAGCATCAAGTTCGTTGCCATCTTCGTCTGGCTTCAGTTCCAGCTTGTGCTGCGGTTTCAATAAGTCCATATCAGACTTCAACCCCTCCGCCAAGAGATCCATAACCTGGTCGTGTAACAACTTATAGTCCGGGTCATGGTGGAGAGCCTCTCCGCAGCGCCTTGGCCTTGTTTTAGAACCCGGTAGAAAATGTTGAGAAGGTCTTACAAACCCCAAAACTAACTGGTAAGGGAAGGGAGGTTGAATAATAGAGTCTTGGGGTGGTTATTGAAGATGAGCTTGAGGGTGGGACCAGGCCACAGGCAGCTGTTGCTTCAGATAGTTAAGGGGAAAATGATTATAATCAGCCTGCTGCTGGATGGTGTTGTCTTCGAGTAGGTGACGTAGTGGTTTCACATGGAAAAACAGATCAAGGCAGGAATCACCAAAGGAATAGAGGGAGGAGGAGGAAGTAGGGGAGATGGAGATCTTCTTGGCCATGTCCTAACCGTTGGAGCTGGAAGCCATTCATCTTCTTGAGAGCAGTTAAGGAGGACAGGTAACAAGAGTTGTTGAAGTTGGAATTGTAGGAGTAGGAGGAGCCATTGCTTTCAGAACCCTCGTGAAAGTGAAACACACTTGCAGTGGCACTGATTTCTTCATCACTAATTCCTCTAATTCAAGTTCCAAATTCTGTATCCTTGTTTTTGTTTCTTTAAATTATAGAGATGATTAATGGCTTGCTTGCGCACCAAGGATCATCTTTTTCCTTTACCTGGAAAAAGAAATTAGAACACAGATAAAATACAAGAGATAATTATAACACTGATTACTTTAAAACAAGAAATTCCAGTGGAGTGAAACTCTAAAGGTTTTTAATTCCCAAATTTTCTTCACCAAAAAATATACTTTTTTTTTTCCTTTTTGACGTCCAATAGCTAATTGAGCAAATTTTATCAGATTTGCTACTTATTAATCAGGCCATTCGCTGGATGCATACAAAGCTTATCTGAACCGTAGCTTTTTAGTATCCTCTTTTGTTCATCTCTTAAGGTGGCTGCCTGCCCTGCACACCAAGTAACTGCACCAGTGCTCAATCAGCCAAACAGATTGCTGCTACAACTGCCTTTTCACATCTTTCCTTCCACATTTTCTCTTTCAAACCAAAGGATGGCCACTGCCAGGGCACTAATAATTACTTCACTAGAATTATCTACTACCATCTAAACAACCCACAGTGTTGCTTCTGCCCAGGAATTTCATTTGCAGAAAATGTTCCCAGTTGGCTCACATGATGTAGATATTGAATATTGCTACCAATAGCCATTGCACGAGCAGCGTCCCTCCCGGAAATGATGAAACCGGGTGCGGTCCCGTAAAATTACCTCTCTGTTATAAACCCCTGAGAGAGCCATAGCAAAATTATGGCAATCAACACATATCCGAAGATTCTTGGCCACTCTGATTGGCGTGCCAGGTGGAGTTGCTAGGACACCGAAAGCAATAGCTAATTTCTCGCTGTGACAGGAGAGTGCATGCCCCTTTTCTTCTGTCCCCAAGTTGTGCAATTCAGATGATACATCTGCAACATAACCAGCAATCTTCAGCTGGCTATTAATCTCATCCAGCATCTTGTAGATTTCATCCTTCCTTGGGTGTGAAACATCATCCACAACAAACTCGTGTGCTACTCCTTTCAATTCAATTGTGCTACAGCCAGGTGTAGTTTGAATTGCTTTTTCCTTCATAAATTTCCTCACTTCTGTTAGCTTCTCCCAGTTCCCAGCTGAAGAGTAAATATTCATCAACAGAACATAATCCCCTGCCTCTTGAGCCTTGAGTTCGATCAAATGACCTATAACACTTTCCGCAAGGGCATCATGGCCATGAATTCTGCAACCCCCAAGTAAGGTCCTCCATATTGTCGAATCCGGTTTGATATCCATTGACAGTATGAGCTGATAGGCCTGATCAAGTCGACCAGCACGACCCAAAAGATCAACCATGCATCCATAGTGATGGACATTAGGCACTACCCCAAACTCTTTGCTCATACGATCAAAAAACACCATTCCTTCATCAACCAAACCGCAATGACTGCAAGCACAAAGAACTCCAGTAAAAGTCTGATAATCTGGTAAAACACCCATTTTCTGCATCTCTCCGAATGCTTCAATAGCTTCTCTACCATACCCATTCACTGCCAAACCAGAAATCATTGCACTCCACGAAACCACATTTTTATCCTTCATTCCCTTAAACACCTCATAAGCCTTATCCAAACACCCACACCGTGAATACATCGCTATTAGAGAGTTACACAGATTTGAAGCACCATCATAACCATGTTCTTCAATGTACTTATGAACCCGTTCGCCGAACTCCAACGCGTTCAAGTTGGAACAAGCTTGGAGCATAAGTAAACACGTAACTTCGTCAGGTTCACATCTATGAGTTTCACTCTGCATTATATCGAACAAGCTCACAGCATCCCTCGTCCGGTTATTATGTAAACAACAAGAAATCAACACGTTCCAAGCAACAACATCTCTCTTAGGCATCTCATCGAACAACTTGCATGCTTCATCACACTTGCCACAAATTGAATACAAGTCCATCAAAGTAGTGAGCAAACGACTGTCGGATTCATGGCCATCTCTCAAAATCCTAGCATGCACCTGAATCGCTCCTAGCAACGACGAAACTCTAATGCAAGATTTGATCACAAAAGACGATGCCAAGGCGTCGGCACGGAGGCCCCGCCGTAGCAAATCTCGGTACATAGAAAACCCCTCCTCTGGTGAATCACTGATTGAGTAAGCTCTTACCATGGTGTTGTACTGAAATGAAGTCGGCTTTGCTATCTGATCGAAGAATCGGCGGGAATAGGAGATGCTCTTCAGTGGTGAAAGTGCAACGAGGGACAAGAACTGGAGGCAAATGGTGGGTTCCAGAACAAGTGATGTTCGGACGATGTGGGCGTGGATTTGGAGCAAATGGGATCTTCTGGTGCATGATTTGATGAGGTCAAGAAGGGATTGCTTTGGGGTTTGAGTGTGGGAGATGTTGGTGGTAAAACAAACAGGAACGTTGAGGTGATGAGACTGAGAAGAAGAGAGTGAGCTTAGGTGATGTGAGACTGCTGCTCTTCTCATATTTTCACTCTTCGGTTCCCTTTGCTTATTGCAAAGATGTGAAATTTTTAATGTCAATTTTCCAACTTCACCATAGTGTCTAAAAACTTTTTTGAGCACTGAGAAATTCGAAACCTTAATTATTCTTACAACCAGGGACATGTTTGGGTTATGGGCTGGCCCGACTCGATACTATGGACATGTTTGGCCAGGCTCATTATGCAAAGGGTGGGGCCACAACTATGATTTTTAGCCCATGGGCAGCCCGACAGGTCTGATTTTTAATTTAGTTTATTAATAAATAATAGAGGTGGACATCAAGATCGGAAAACCGGAACATCAAGCTGCACCGGACCTGAAAAATACTATGTTGACTAAAAAGTCAACAAACCGGTAGTATTCTTTCTAAGCAATGGCGTTATGAGTGGTGCTTTACTACAAATCTCTATTTTGATGGTGATGATGCTTTATGCGAATTCCGTGCCCTCAAACGGGAATTAATAAAATACCAAAAAAGTTGTAGATACGTCAATTGGGTCAACCATGTGTTGAAACAACATAGAGGCTCAAATATTGAACAATTCAGAGTTTTCTTTGACCTAGATCGTCGTTTTGCATGTTCCATTGATAAATGGATTCATTTTGCAATGGAAAAGAGAGTTCGAGTGTTTCTGTTGGACTTTCTACTAGACTATGGTGTTATTTATGAAGATTCCTATACTCTTCCCCGCACACTATTAGGTCTTGAAAAGGAAAAGGGATACTCCTTGACGCCTTTTTGTTGTGACATTCCAATTCCTCAGGGTTCTTCATTTGGAAAATAATGTTGATGAGTTGTTGAGTACTTCTTGTCTAATTGTCCAGTTTTCGAACAGTTATCAGTGCTTGGTGCTACAAATTTAGTTGATTTAAGAGTTGTCCGTCCATTAGTTTCATTCAAGTATTTATCGATAAGATATTGTCTTGGCCTTAGAAGCATTGAGATTTATGACGCAAACCTTGTGTCATTTATTTATGCCAGATAAGAGAAACTTGCATCTCAGTAATGTGCCGTCACTTGTTGAGGTATCCATTTTTGAGCTTCCGGTCTATTCCAAGAGTATTGCTGATTTAACGAGTCATGCCTTCACCCAACTTCCTTGTTGTCTCTCTCAACTAGAGACTCTCATGTATTTTGTATTGGCATAAAGGTTAGTATGTATTTTGTAATTATCATGTGTTGGTTTACTTATGTTTTTGTTGGATTAATTTATGGAGTTTTTTTACTCTGTGTTTGGCTTTCTTTCAGTATAGATATGCCTGTTCCTACATTACCAAATCTTAAGCATTTGGAGCTTCTTGAAGGCATCTCCTTCCTTGCAGAGACTTGTACTTAAGGTACGTAGCTATATATTCCTACTTGATAAATAAAACTTGATAGTCGTAGTTTTGTGTGTGTGTGTGTGTTTTTTTTATTTTTCTAATTATGCGTTTGGGGCAAATACTTCGAGAGTTTTTGGTTTCTTTATAATTGTTATACCTTTTGAATATTAATTCTACTTGGAAATGCTTGATAGGAGAAGCACATTCAGCATGGTTGCGCATACATTTACCTATTTGAGCCTCATTGAAACTTGAAAGCCTCTCAAGCTTCTGTATATCATAAAAGAAAAAGTACAAATAATACGAGTTAAATTTTAGAAATTAACATAAGAAAATAAGATACTTTAAAAAAAGAAAAACCCAGCCAAGTGAAGAACTAGAACAGGCATGTGTTGTTGGTATTTGATGAGGAAAAAGAGTCAGATAAAAGAGACTTGATTTCTTCATCTTCCTCATGATCATCATCCATAGTACTTGCATATTCGTGAATTTCATTGTTGCTGCAGATGAAAGAGGATTGTGATTGATCCATATTATTCATCTCCATGATCTTTCTCTTCTTGTAATTAGCCTTAAAACAAGCTTGCCTCAATCGCTTGGTATGGTCCTCCAATTGCATGTCGGGCACTTCCTCCAGCAGCTTCCTCTCCCTCTCCAACAACTCTATTGCATTTCGAAGCTTCTCCTTACTCTCCTCCCCCTCATTTCCCAACTCCTACATATGCATAAATACATGTAACGCCAATTTATGAGTTTATAAGTGAAAAGTCATTTCTACAACTTTGGTGCATATGTAAAGTTGTTATTTTTATTGAACAAACCTGAATGTTTCTGATTAGGGTTTGGAGACTGGCCAGCTTCCGGTGAGGCCACCGGCGAATCCCCAACTCTCTACACCTTTTCTTCAAAAGGGTTAAACCTACATTGAGTTCCTTGGCTGCCTGAGTTATAGGCATGTAGAAGTAGTTTGATATTGTTTCCCTGGACAACATTTTTGATGAGTTGAGCGACATGGAGTTTGATGATCTGAGCCTTGTGCTAAGGTGAGACCTTTTACTAGTCAGCTTCCTCTCGTCCTCCAAATCATTCTCAGCACTGCCATTTTCTTCATTCTTGCACATCAGCAATGGAGGTTGATGCTGTATTTGTTTTTTTTTTTTATTGCTAGGCTCCATTAATTCACCGAACAAATCATTACAAACCCCATTTCCATTTCCCAAAACAATTTCATCACCTGCTTAAAAAGAATAAAAATATAAGTTGAAAAATAAAATTAACTACAGAAAAAGCTGAAAATTAAAATATATACATAGTGCTTTACAAAGAATCACACACCTTGAAACACACTTCGGATTGGTTGAATATCAAGGGAAGAGTAAAGAGGATCAAGATTCAAACAGCTTTGATCCATGAAAGGAACAGCAGCATCAAGAAAAGAGTCTTGTACTAGTGGGAGCGTCCATTCGTATTGCCAATCAAATGGATCGTACCCGTTCATTCCACTAACAAACAATGATCTATTAACATCCACAATATTGAACAATGCATGCTAAAATTATGCCAAAAAAAGAAAATAAAAAACAATAACACACACCTCAAATAATCCATAGGAGGAACTATTTGGTTTGTGAAGCAAAATGGGTCTTCAACAACATCATAGTTGGCCAGCCAACTCATAAGTGAATGACCACCCATTTGATTTTGATTGCACTCACATACGAATCAATGTGTGTTTTGTGTTTTGTGTTTTGTGTTTTGTGTTTGAGAGAGAGAGAGAGAGAGAGAGAGAGAGAGAGATGAGGAAGAAGAAGAGACCAGAAGTGGGTATATATAGGGACACGGATAAAAATGGCTGTGTGCGCTTAATTATTGCTTATTGAGAGTTACAAGATGTATTAATTAAGGATCATATCTAATTTACTAGGAGGGGCTTCATGATCATGAGCCTACATGAACGTGCGCCGCCACACCTCCTCTCTCCCTTCCCACAATTATTAATTTTATATCATTTTTCTTCTTGATCATTAGCCTGCATGCCTTGCCAAGTTTGGATCATCTACATACATCTATATATATATACATAATCTACTATGGGGTACTAAAAACTTGGACTTACTAGCAATTCACAATCATTATCGCTCCTTGTCACATTTGCTCACCTTTTGCAATTATTACATGTCGCTCGCCCATTGGAGTTTGGATCATCCTCAAGGCCTCAAATGTAATGATTTTGTGAGATGGAGAATTCGAAAACATGACCTCAAATGTAATGATTTTTAAGATCATCTCAACAAGCAAAGTATCAATCACCCTTTCGATCCTCATAATCAATGTTAAGCATGATAAAATTTGGGTAAATATTATTTTGATAATTAGTCAAAAGTAATACATGATACATGTACTCGCTGGCGGCACTAGCTTTGATTTTGAAAATGAGATTATTTTGCAGCACTATATTTTCTGCCCACTTCTTTTTTCGTTGTTCATTTTGAGATTGTGGATTCCGTTTTAATATGGATGCATGTAACGTACTGATAAATAATCATTTACGAAGTAATGATCATTGATCAGTTAGAAATATTTTGATTAATTAAGCTAATTATAATCAGACCAATTATTCTTCTATATCATGTAATCTAGTTAATGTATATGAGTGGTGGCCAATTATTGCCATGGCATGCATAATATAATTCCGTCTTTTAAAGACTCAGAAGCTACGGTTTTTCATTTCAAGAAAAAAAATATATATATATATATCCTTTTCCAAGTGGTGGAAAATGACTGAGAAGAGTTACAAAACTAATCATTGCAGAATCCACAAATAGGAGCCAAGCGAATCCTGATAAATCATAATTCTTACTTAACGCCAAGTTAAACATCAAATTTAAATTTGATGGCTGATGTGGCAATTTGACATTTTACACAGCTTTACACTCCACCTGATATGTCAAATTAAATTATTATTTTATTACATTTTAGTGTTGATTTATTTTTAATTAAAAAGAAAATAAAATAAAAAATAATAAAATATTCATTTGACATCTTGCTTTTGGGATGTCAAAAATAACATCTCAACCTCCAGCCTTTATTCCACATAAGCTTTGACACATCAGTTGGAGTCATGTGAGATGTTATTTCTAGCCGTTAAATGTCTATGTGGCACTTTTGACACATCGGTTGGAGATGCTCTAAGAATTAATGGTGATACAGCATTTTACAGTAACAATATTTTGGTTAAAAGTTTTAGGTTGCAATCGGAAATTATAATGTTCCTTAAATATGCATTAGAATGAAACGAATTCTACCTTGTGTACAAGTACATAAAAAGCAATGGAAAAAACCAGAAGAAACCCTTATCAATCAAATTTGAATAATACAACTGTTTTATCTCAATAAAATAGAAGGGATATAAAGCAAGGTCCATAACTTTTCTTCTTTGAACCTATGTTAAAACTCAAACTCCAGCAAAGGAAAACCTGGAGACTACACTTCAGTTTCTCGGCTTACCCCTTCCACGGCCACGCCAACCTCCTCTCCCACTGCCGCCACCCCGGCCACCTTTCCCACCTAAGGCTTTATTAGCGTCAGAGTGTGCTTTCATGTTCTCTGGCAAGGGAAGTATCTGATCCACACACTTCCTGAAACTAAAATCATCAACAGCTTCATCTTCCCTAATGAGGAAGAAGCACCTGCTTTTATACAATGGATGGGTTCGAACTTGGAAAGCCTGGACCCCTCCACCAATCTTCTTATCAGGCTCTGCATGACCCTTCTTAAGCAAGTCCAGCAAAACCAGATGTTCATACTGCAACATAACAAGAGATTCAGTCAAATATGTCATCAAATAGCAAGAGATAAATATTGCAGGGCAGCAGCAATCTCAAAATGAAAGCACTCAATGAAACGATCACAGCCAACTTACAAAAGTCTTCTAAAATCAATCTCTTTTCTAGTTAAAAATTCCTAAAACTAATCTCATTGCCTTAGCATAATTGAATTTGTGAACAGGGGATATTGAGCAGGGTTGCTAGATAATTTGTAAAAATTAGGGATGCTGAATTTTCTGGTGAACTTAGATCTTCCTTTTCAAGCAACTATCTTCAGATATTGGGAAACTTTCAAACTTTTTTTTGTATATTCTCATGCAACACACCTATACTCTCCCCTTCCAATTCCTCCAAAGGCTAATAAAAATATAAGAGAGTTGACAGACAATTAACATAGGAATGAAATTTTGCAAATTTTAAGGTAATGAATTGAACATGAACTATCCACCATCGAGTTTCCTAACAAATTCTTAGAGAATTCACACATAAAAAAGATCTTTAAATATATGAATTAACAATACCATCTCTAGAAAACCCAATGTAGAAACACCAGGACACCTTAGATCAATATATGCCAAACACCAGGATCAAACAAATAACTCCAACTTCACTGATTAAATTAAAACAAAAAAACAATTTTCAAGCAATTAATATTTACCAAAACCGCAAAAGTCTCAGACTTTGAGAAAAGAAAACTGTTTGCCTTTTGTTTTCTTTCCAACAGGGGAGAAGACGCAAGCCAAACCAAAATTCTCACAACCACATTCACCACAACTACGGGACACCAAATTATAACGCTAATTATTCAGTTATGTACTGAGAAAAGGTTTCGATTTTTATTCTATCTGAATTCCATACAACTTTCAGCACAAGCAAACAGAGCTCAGAGGATCAAGAACAAATAAATAGCTTTCTTTGGGTACCTTATTAACACTGAGATCAGTCGGCCAATAATGAAGCAACTTGTAGAAGTAGTCGAACATCTCCACCGATGACCCGAAACTCTTCGGGCCCAGGCTGACCCGACCCGACTCTTTTCCTTCCCCCAACTTCTCCAACCGTTCCTCTTCCGGCGACTTCTCCACCTTCGTCTTCTTCGCCTCGGCGTCGTTTCCTTCACTCCCCTCCTCATCCCTGAGCCGTTTCGCGTTCGCCTCAGCCTCGCCGTTAGTGCCCTCATCGGGTTTTTGGACCGGGGCGGGCTCTGAGGCTTCTAGTTCCATGTCCTCGGCTGCGGTGGCGGTTTCCGAGTTGGTTTCGGCGAGTTCAGAGACTGTCTTCTCTGCCATGATCGTATATCTGTGTATGCTTGTGAGGCTAAACCCTAGGTTTTGGGCCTCCTTATATATGGATATACTCAACAAAGCACTATAAACGGGTTTTCTTTTCGGCTCCGAATCCGGTTATTTTATTTTCTTTCCCTTTTTCTCGTTAAATAAATGAATTTATTAGTGTTTTGGTAATAGGGGGATTGTTATGTTTCTGTAAAATAAAATTAAATAAATAAATAAATAATCATCACTGCTTGGGATGTATAAATATTTATTTGTTAGTATTCATATGGCGTGATAATAGAAATTAAAAGAGGGTTCGTGATATATAATCACCTTTGCACGGAAATTTATCTTGCTTTACATTGATCTATCTATATATATAGCAAAAGGCAGAGAATGGTAAAACATTCAAAGTTCCAAAAAATGCTCTTAGTTAATGCAAACATTAAGAATTAAAATTATTAATTAAATGATGATAATACGGTAAAGTCACATTTTTTTCATATTAAAAAAGTTTAAATTAAAAGAAGAATTAGATAATGAATCCTATTTTTATGGAACACAACTAACCATTATCTTTTTTAATCTTCTCACAAGCTAATATTAATTATTAGGCTATTAATTTGTTGGAAGTTGCATAGTAGATATCAAATTAATTATCGCTTTTTTACAAAGTGATATTTTAAACTACTCTAATGTACGAGGATGAGAATCGAACTTGGGTGCAAAGAGACGAAAACATCTATATTTTCATCTTTTCTAAACCTAATACCTTTTAGGTTTAAGTCTTGAGTATAAAATTATCTACCTAATGCATTTAGTGTACAAGTAATTGCGGGATTTACTTTAAACCTTACCTTTGATGCGAAGTGACTTGAACAACTTTCATGGTTGCCAAACATATAAGTTTCTTCCATGTTCCTTGATTACAATGAAATCAATGATTTTACCAACTAATTTACCAAAAGCCACCCTTCCAACAAACCCCCTTTGCATATACTAAGAACAGAGTAACTTTCTTTGTGTTTTCACCTTCTTTGGTATTTTCATTCGAAAATTTCCCCTTAAATATTTTATTGGAAATTATTTGTTTTGACAAAACAAATAATTTATTGCAAGACTTGGACACTTGTATGAACATGGGCAAGGTCAAGTGAATGGTGCTTCTAGGAACATGGCCAAGGTCAATTCACATGTTCATCAACTGTTCAATGGTTGGATTTTAAATAGAGATTTTCTATTTAAACCCCACACTTCTCTCAGTTCACCCCATCTTTTAAGTTCACCCCATCTTTTAATTTAAATTTTCACAATTTCTAAGAAAACCCCACTATATTCCCAAACTATCCTCAAATACACCCCAAACTGAAAAAATAAGAAAGAAAAGAGATTTTCTATTTAAACCCCATAATTTTCTTTGTTCCCAGCATAAAAAACACAAACAAATAGAACCCTAAACCCAAAATTTAATACTTTCTAGAGAAAGAGAACAACTTTACCTCTCTCCAAGAACTGTAACTAGAATTCCAACACTTGGGTATTGTTGAGTTGATAATCAACAAGCCTTTCCATAAACTCCACGCATGTTTAAAGAGGTAGGCTCGTCAATTTTCTATGTCTTTAAAAGAGAAGAGTAATCAGGCAATAGGATGTAGAGGAGTTTGTATTTTTCTAAAACTTGATATGAAGAGTGGTGGGGTGTGTGTATAGATATACTAGGGTTAATTATTAAGTTGGATAACCTTTTTTGTCTTTTTATAGAATAATAATACTTACAGCTTAATGATTTAAGTACTGGGGTGAACAAAGAGAAGTGCGGGGTTTAAATAGAAAATCTCTTTTAAATACTCAATTTTGCAAGCAATAATATATATATATTTGAACGAATTGTTTTCATGAGGTGGCATAAGCCTATTGGATCACCGTTAGGGTCGAGACTGTTTAATGCATTACATATGCAGTCACAAATCCAAACGAACCGACGACCCTCGGACATTCTGACGTCCGTTAAAGACAGTTACTGTTAAAACACGCGCTAAATCAAATCATTCGATCTGGATTACGGTCATGAGTGTTTCAATGGTCTTGATTCAACTAATACTCTCCATTTGGTACAGAAAACACAGACGATCTCTTATAGCTATGGACGGGCGTTACCGAGCCTAGCATTAACTAGGCTCGTCCAATCCGAACCTGATGCCTTCAAATTGAATCAAATAAAAATCCGTTTGGTGGAAAGGCAAAGGTTAAAAGACTTTTTCACAAGAGAACAATTTCAGAGTTCTAAAAGCTCAAATTCTAGGTCTTTTCCAGGTACTTTTCTTCCTTGTGCTTTTCCTGATTTGTGTATTTTTCTCTCTCCTAAATTTGTTTTATCAATTTGCATAATGCATTCCTGCTGTAAATGCTTCATTTTTAGGTGTAGAAAATCATAAAGTTCTTACATTTCGATCGTGGGTGTGAATTTTTGTTCTTTTAGGGTTTTGTATCACCGATTGATCGTATTGGTAAGTTTTTGTCAAATTTTGGTGTCAATTTATGGGTTTGGTTAGGGAAAGGTTGGGGATTTAGTTTGGGGTTCGGCAAGTACAGGACTTTTGTTTGGTAGCTCAGACTGGTGGAGATTCTGTTTCTTGGTTTTCTTTTTTGCTTAGGTTATATGGGGTCAATTAGCTGGAGCCAGTGAAGCACTGATCATATGACATATCGGTTTAATTGTATACAATGTTAGGCCCTAGATTTTCTTTAGTTTTTCTTTGGCCTTCTTGTTCTTAGCATCCAAACACGCAGTTGAAATGGCCTGAATGCAGGGTAGTTTGGGAAATTTTGAAGCTTTAATGTTTGGTTATATGCCTTTTTGTTGTAGTTTAGGAGCTCCTTTGTGACCTAAAGGTGGTTAAAGAAAAGGGAAAGCCAATTTTGAAATTCAAACCTTTTGAGTGGAACTTCAAATTGGAGCTGTTATAGAAATTCTGAAGCTTTGCTTTCTGCTTGAAAAACTGAGGAAGATAGCAGAGAAGTCCAATTAAAACCTTAGATCTGGGTCAACTCCTCGCCATTCCTTTTAGGTCCAGATATTGAAAGAATTAGGATTTAAGATCCAATTTTTTATTTTCCTGCACTTCTATGCAGGACTATTTCGTTGTTTTTCCTGATCACAAAACCCAGAATCATACATTTCACAACTTTAAATTTGACTAGTGCATTTTATTGAATTTTAAAAGGAGATTGTTTTGAGTTAATGAATTTTCTTTCTATATTGTTGATGCAGGAGCTTTAATTTGAGTAAGAATGGGTGATCACCTGGTGTTGTGCGTTGACCGCTTCACAAAACCTGAAAGCTTGCAATCACTGCAAGGGAATGAGGCCCCAGGATCTTCTTCAGAGGGTTCATGCTCCCAATCGGCCGAGCTACCCACTTGCGCCATTGATGTTAAGGGGGTAGGGGAGAAGGTTGTATCTGAAGAAGAAGAGCCACTGATTCAGACGGTTGAATGTCGCATTTGCCAGGAAGAAGATAGCGTTAAGAATTTGGAAGTCCCCTGTGCTTGCAGTGGCAGCTTAAAAGTATGTCTGATTTTTTGATGTTTAGTTCAGAGAGTATTTTCTACCCCTGTAGTTAGACTCCGCTATTATGCTCAAATCAGCTTCATGGGCTCGAAGTTATATCATGACATGTGCTGCTGATTCCTTTTTATTTGTGGTTTGGTTATATATCATGACATGTGCTGCTGATTCCTTTTTATTTGTGGTTTGGTTATGTGGTTTTGTTGATCTTAGCTTTCTGTTTTCTTTTTCTTTTCCTTTTCCTTTTTCTTTTTCACTACCCACTATCTTTGTATGAATCTTTCACTGCAAGCCAATATTATTCTCCTAGTTTCATTTATGTGAAGCAATTTCAGTGTCTTGTTAGACTATATTATGAATTTAAAGGCAAAGCCAATGATTTCTTTCTCTCTTTTTACAATTCAGTTTGCTCATAGAAAATGTGTCCAGCGATGGTGCAATGAGAAGGGAGATATAACTTGTGAAATTTGTCATCAGGTAAGTTTCTAGAATCCCCGGCATCTGCAATTGCCATGTTTCATGATTGTTTTTCGGTGGAGAATCTGCTAGATTCATTTATATATTTGAGATTAATAATTATTAAAGATGTTCCTGATATTCATATAAGTAAGCAACTTCTCTTTGTTTAGAAGCTATCATAAGCTTGCCTTTTCTGTTTTGCGAAGTATGAAATGCAATGTTGTATCATGAGAAGATATTTGGTTTTAAAATCAATTAACTATAATGATGCATCCATGTGATATATTAAATCATGTGAGTATTTTCTGGTAACCTCTTGATCATTTCAATTGGTTAATGTGAATTTCATCCACTCACAAGTGCAAAGTCATTGTGTGAATTTTCATGCAAAGTTTCTTGGATGTACAGCCATACCAACCTGGTTATACTGCCCCACCACCTCTGCCTCAGTCTGAAGATACCACAATTGACATCAGGCAAGTTTAAATTCACATATGCTTTGCAACCTGGTTCATGTTGTTATTGAGGAAATTCTTTTTATCTTTAAAATTAACATCCGGATAGATGTGAGAATGTTTATTTGTTCTAAGGACTTTTCTAATTATATTGAGCACTGAAAGCCCATTGTTCTCTTTGTATTACTATTTTGTCAGGATATGTTGTACAGGTTGTATTTAAGACCCTTATCTGTTTTGTTGTTTTGTTGTTTTGCTTCTTGGATTTGCCTGACAGTGAGGGTTGGACAATCTCTGGTACCCCTTTGGATTTGCGTGATCCTCGACTATTAGCAATGGCAGCGGCTGAACGTCACTTTCTAGAGGCTGAATATGATGAGTATGCTGATACAAATGCTAGTGGAGCAGCTTTTTGCCGCTCTGCTGCTCTAATTGTAAGCCATAGCAACCGCCATTTATAATGTGTTGGAATTATATTTTTTTCCAATAAGATTTAATAGTAGGGCATGTAGGAATGACATATTTCTCTCTCATCTTCTTTATGATTTTAGTTTATGGGTCTATCAGACAATGAGCAAAACCTAGCTCAATGTTTTTTCCCCCGTTTGCCAGCTTTAATGAAATCTCTATTGTAACTTTATCTTTTATTTACTTCTTTATTTCTCAATACCTTTTTCTCTGGTCATTCTAAATTGGTGTAACTAGTTGCAGATGCTTTTCTGGCCCTGCAACTTGTTGCCTATGTACATTCCCAGATTAATACCTTGGCATGGTCTGCTCTCAGTTGAATAAGAAAATTTAATGTCAATCCTTCTCTCTTGTTCCTTGGCAGTTAATGGCTCTCCTCCTCTTGAGGCATGCTTTGACCCTCCCCAATGGAGATGGGGATGATGATGATGCTTCAACCTTCTTTTCTGTAAGTGGCATGTGGATGTTGGATGTGTCTCATAACATTTCAGATTCTTGCTCCATCTAACTAGTGATCTATTGTTTACAGCTGTTCTTGCTCCGGGCCGCTGGTTTTCTTCTCCCATGCTACATTATGGCTTGGGCCATCAGCATATTACAACGTCGAAGGCAAAGACAGGTTAGTTCCTGGGTTCTGCTGTTTTGGTGGAACCCAAGAATAATTTTATTCTTATATTTTCTTAATGAGACGAGATAACACCTGCTGTTTGGCATGCTTCTTATATTGCACAGAAAGAATGTAGGAATCATGTTGCAGCCAACTTTTGTTTGCCATTTACTAGAAGCTTTCTGCTCTTGGAAGATGATTGAATGCCGAATTTTTTTAATTGTCTTTTTGAAGAACTGTGTTGCCAAGGATGTTGTCTATATGTTTACCTAGACGATGGGGCTTCACTTTTCTTTTTCTTTATCTGTGTTGGTGCATCTGATTCGCAGTAGCACATTTATGCTTACCATCTAGAATGACTTGTTGGTTGTTGATGTTAGTTGCTAAATGCAGACCTTTTTTAAAAAAAAAGGTTACATGCTAATTTGTTTGTGTCTTACTGTTGAGCCAGGAGGCAGCAGCACTTGCAGCAACTGAGGTTGCATTTATGCTGCAGGCAGGGCAACGCCGGGGCTTGCAGTTCACAATAGCTCCAGGACCTGCAGTGACTCCCCATCAGGAGCCAATTCAATAATACGGTGTTCCTCAATTCTGGCATGTACTATTTTGGCGAAGAGGATACGTTGGAGCTGGAAATCTGAGTGTATTGTTTCTGTTTGTGCTACTAGCAGTAGAGGAAAATCAGAAGGCTGTAGCTTTCTGATTGTCATGTATCTGTAATCGAATTATTTTAAATACTCGTACAAGTTCACTATTTTCTTTACTAATCTCTTTCTCATGTTTTGTACATAATCTTGGTTCTCACAGCAGCAGTTCTGCTGCATGATAAACCAGTGTTGAAAGAGCTATTGTTAACAGATTATATTTGCAAACTATCTTGAATGCATTTCTTCAGTTGCCTGCTATTTATTCGTTATCTTTTTTTTCGCTTACTCATCCTGATCAGCCAAGCATCAACTTTACATGCATCATGAATCAGCCTTCCGTTTCTTCTTATTTCCTTTAGTTTCATTTTCCGTTTTGAAGTCCCAATCTAAACAAAGACGAGTCTCTGCCACCGACTAGTTCGCTTTGCTCTTGGTAATGCTCTGATCTATGTAGCTATTTGCATTTTGCTGGTTGCCAAGTGCGGAACTCATTGGGTGACACAATGCTAGCATACAAATTGAATGAAATCAGCACGGAAACTAATGTTGAAGCCAATCTACTTGAGATGTGATGTTTTGTGCTTTCAGGATTTAAATTCAAATGCACCACACCATTGATTTCTTGAAGCGTGACAGTCCTATTGGTTTTCTCATTGATGACATGCCTTTGTGTGATAGTTCAAGAAACCCTGTAACCCTGTGTTGTAGTTGTTAAAGTTAAATGTGATGGTGAAGGATGATTTGGAAAGCAAACGTTCCATTCAATTCTTTTACTTTAATACAGCTCTCAAAGCAGAGATCCATGATATTGGAGTATCTTAGCTTATGTCCAGCTTGGACCATGACCAGTCCACGTCCTCCTCAAGACCTGCCTTTGGCTTGTCTCAATTTAAACTCTACTGGTGATTGCCTTTTACAATAGTTTTCTTTTGGTTTTTATTTTGAGCAAAGAGCTTTTGTTCAAGGCTTGTAGTTCTTGAAAATGAAAAGAACAGAAACAAAAAAAGGAAATGAGGGTACAGAGAGAGAGAGAGAGAGAGAGAGAGAGAGAGAGAGAGAGAGAGAGAAAGATGGTCTTCATGGATAAACGAGATATATATAAAGAACAAAAAAAGAAGAAGAGGGCAGATATGCAAGCCCAAAATGCGTTTCCTTTGAAACTTTGAATGGGGGTTTAAGGGCTGGGCAATCCAAAGAGAGAGCAAAGAAAAGCATAAAGGAATTCCATTTAGCACAAGAAACCAAGACTCTGATTTTTGCTGCATGGAGAGAAGAGCTTGGAATTCTAAAGCTAGTTTAGCTTAAAGCAAGTGTTTGGTGTATAAAGCTATTGGTAGCGTTGGTTGGTTGGTTGGTTATTTGGGTTTTTTTGGTTTTTGTATTTTTTGGTGGGAGGGATTACTATTCCCCACCATTACTCCAACATCTCTACTTTTGATGGCTTTTCTGCTACATTAGCTATCTAAATTTGGAACTGCCTTATCCTTGTTTAATGCTTATTGATGTTATTGCTTTGTGATGTTTTATAACTCAAAATCTTCAGAGTGGAATTCTTTTTCAATGACTGCATTTCATCTCAACTCCGTAGGTTGGCTTGAGCCACATATGCAAAGCATTTAGCATATGCCTTTGGGATTTCTTCACCAAGTTTTCCTAATTCTACACATCAGACTCATCATCATGGTAAATGTACACATCAGCATGGGCAGATGATGTGGCAAGTTGGAAAAGTATTCAAGAGACCAAAACTGGTCTTTGTTTGGTAAAAAAGAGCAATGCAGATGATAGAGAGATGTAGGGAAACCGATTGAGAAAAAAGATACTTGGCTTCCCAAGGATAGTGTTCCAACTTAACTTTTCATTCAAACCTGTCAGAGTCTTCTAAAACAGCCTTATATTGCTTCTATAGCAGGCTTATGATTGAGGTGAATCTAAAACTTCCCTACATATTCTGGCCTTCTGGGGCCTCTTTGTGCTTTATGCTTTCAGCCTTCCAAATCCCATAAAAGACATACCCTTGGCTTATTCTTACAGGAAATGAACCACAGGGAGGAACAAAGTTTCAGGCACACTACTCATTCTCTTGTCATTGCTTGAAACACAGATACCTCCTACACATACATACTTCCTCATTTTGCAGAGCACAAGCATTAAAAGCATGGGTTTTTTGGCTTATAGGAGTGCTGTTCTTTTTGTCTGTATTGGGTTTTTAGCTCTCCAGCCAGAAAAGGTTTCTGGCTTAAGAAGCATGGATTTGGCTCTCAGATGGGACAAAGGGCACATGTCATTTCTTAAAAGTTTGCATCTTGTTAAGGCTGTTGCTGTAGAGGATTTGCAAGCGAAGCTGAGTTTGGCGCCTGCACCATCAATGACATTTGATCCAAATCAATCGAACAAGAGAAAAGTTCGAAAAGGATCAGACCCGATTCACAACAGATGTTGACATGCTGATGCAGCTTCCTATGGGGAGAAGAAGGCAACTAAGTTTTTTCATGCAAAAGAAGCTGCTGTGGCTGTAACTAATACAAAAGGGTTCAACAGGGTGGTGGGCATCCTCTTCCTTTATAGATTCTCAAAGTTGGTTGGTTAGAATTATATATTTTCGTTTGTTTTAGTCGAAAGTTTTTGTTGTTGAGCTGAAGAAATGCAGCTGAAAACCCAATCATTGAGCTAGCATAATCTCTATTGTATAAACATAGGTCCTAACCAATAGCTGAATACTTTGAGAATGATGATGCTGGCACTCACAGATTACATGCATTTTCTGAATTTTCTCTATAAAAGAAAGGACTGCTATAATTCTCTGTCTGTGATTTTGCATTTTATAGCCACAACTTTGAGTGTTTCACAGGTAATGTTGCTGCTGTCTTTGCATCCTCATTTATTTGTTGAGCTCTTCCATGCATGCTCAAATAAAAGGAAAATAAATATAATAAAGCATTTGTAAGAATTCAAGCCATGAGGTTGAAGGTTGTCATTTCTCTAAAACTAAGTTCCAGTTTGATTTGCAACCACACTAGTGAGACATTTTTCACCTTCACATTCTCACATGCAATACAATAACAACAAAAATAGAACTAATTCTACACTCTAAAATTCAAAAATAAATAATTTGATTGAAAATTATTATCTATCTACAAAGTAGATCAACATAACCAATGGGTACGGATATATATTGTCAAAGACAAAATCCCTTACAGATATCTTCCCAACTAGTCTCTGTCTCTTTTATGCCACCTTCAGCAAAACTTTCATGTTTCCCCTGGGGTGCAAGGTCAAGAGATCTTAGTGACTCGTATTTCAAACGGTGATTGTTATTTCGTTATTATACCAGAAGTTGACCTGTCATATCTCTTCTTTCTGTGAAATTTAAATTGTATAGAGGATATCTTATGAGAAACTGCTTGCCAAATCATATCAACGGCATCACCAGGCTGGGATGGATACCGATATTCAAATTGATGTACAATTTCCTTCAACCTTTCCCACATCTTGGTCCACCTGTCTTGCTTGATTCCTTGAAGAAGATTCAGTAGGTAACCCTTCTTAACAGCATCAGACGCGTGAACAAATATGCAAAACTCTGAGTAGTCTAAGACCTCTTCAAATGGTAGCTCAATCTCATCACTAATAATCACAGGAACACAATGACTAGCAATAGCATCAAATAGGCGATTTGAGGAAGGGGTATCACCAGCAATATTGAGGCAAAACTTTGATGAGGCCATTCCTTGGCTTGCCTTGTTAATACCATTTCCTCGAACACTACCAAAAGTGAAGTGTACATCTTTCTCATCTTTGAGAATATAATACAATTCTTGGCGAATTACTCCTCCCTGGATGAATTCAAGGTAAAGATTACTTTAGTAACATATTTTCTGGAAAATCTAAAACTGATTATTGCTAAAACAATAGTGTATGATGTAAAGGAAGAAGGGAAGCACTGCAAAAAAAAAAAAAAAAAAACCTGCCTTTTGGAAACAAGAGCCAGCAATAATGACAAGAGCGCATCAGAATTCAGAATAAATGATATGTTTATGAAATGGATCATGTCAGTCATAATTCAAACACTTTGTTGCTTCATTGGAGTTAGGATACATTAGCATATCAAATTAGCAATCAGTTTTGGAGACTGCCCTGCATCAAAGGACTAATTTATGCATTTAAATTCCATTATAATGAAATGACTTGTTTGCTCCTCTATATGAGATAGACCTTTTCCAGAAAATCCTAATGGCCAGATAACTCATTCCACTATCAAATTCCGGGTAATATGAGCTAATCAAAACAAATTTCATCATGCATCCTATCACCAATTGAAAACAAATTGAATATTAAAGACTATATAATTCATGACAAGAGGTAAAAGAAGAAAAAACATACATCTTTTCTGTATATGGCTCCTCGGAAATATAATAGTATAGGACGTTTCTCAAATGAGGCTGATTTGCTGCTGTCAACAGTCATCACCACATGTCTGTAAGGAGCAATTACATCCTTCTCAAGATTTGCTATTTCAGCAGGGTATCTTCCAAAATCTGCAAGCACAAACATGGCTGAGCCCAATTTCCTTCTTGCATCCAACATGCTATTTGGATGGTGAGCAACTATCAAATGATCCTTCCCACCCTTTCTTTTCCATTCATCCCGACCTTTCAAAAACTGCACCAATTTGTTCTGCAACATCTTGTTGACACTGACTTTCTCCTTTCCATGGAGCTTAGAATGCCTGTTGTAACTCAGAGATGAGAAGAATGGCACAAAAATAACATCTGCTTCGCTTGAATTGTGCACCCTAACTACCGTGCAAGGTCTGACCACAGTTGGGATATTTGAGGACAGAAGATCAAGGGTGAGCCAGTATTCGATACTGTGCTGTAAATTCAGGCCACCTGGGTAAGGTGGGATGCGACTTGGGATACTGACATTTGGCCATGTTTCATTCTCCTTTCCCTTCCAACCCAATAGCCCAAAGTGAAATTCAGGAGGCAACTCATACATGAACACCCTCAAGAGTGCCTGAGTTGAATCACAGGCCATGGTTTTCATTTTCCTTAAAGATCCCAATTTCTTGCTTGAATTGGAAACTTGACAGGCCAATTCACTTCTTTTTGAGGATCTTATAGCATCAACTCGGGAAACCTCAGAGGAC